TCCCACCTCTTCCCTCCCGGCGGCCCTACCTGGAGCACCTCCAGCCTCCACACATTCCCGTGGAGGGCGAACATGACGGCACCCACTCCGGGTCCAAGACCCTGAGCCACAATGTAGGACCTGGGTAGTTGGCGGTTGCGGTTGCGGTTGAGTTCATGGTGGTAATTAATGGCGGTGGTAGTGGGGTTGCATACATACATACATACATTTTCTAAAGCAGCTCTGAAAATACTAAGAAACGATAATTATTTTTTTGGTGTCCTATATGTTCGCCCGCCTTAAGAAACGAAAGACACTTCCCCTGAAGAATATTTGCAAATTTGGCAGGATTTTGTCAAAACAACTTTTTCTCCATAAAAGCAACATGATGTACCTTTATAAAGAAACGCCTATCAAGTATATACATACATATGCACACATACGCAGCTTTTGGGGAACTCCGGTTCTCTAAAGTGTCCATCCTCATCCTCATGACGCCACCGTTTCAGTCAACACTTAAACTCTTTCCATGGGCGCCATCACTCAACTTAAAACCTAGCACCAGAAGGCCAGTTCAGTATTGGCCTTCGCTAACGCACGTACACACACACGCGGCACTGCATTTTGATGTACGACGCAATGTTTCCTCCCGGCGCATTCGCGACAACGTAGCCGCATGTAAGCCAGCAAGGCCAGCAGCAGGGGCGGAACATCTGTGTGATCTGACACCCGTGCAGCTAAGCACCCAAGCATGCGGCGGTGATCGATCCCGCATTCCTGTTCGCAAACCCCTGTACGAGCACTGCCGTACATCCGTCGTACATGTGCAGCCAGGTGTACAGCTTGGAGCGATTGCCAGTGGGCACCGAATCAGCGAAAAGAGCATCTAGTACGGGGGCGTTGGCCTGCATGGACGAGATGGGAGGAAGGGGTAAAGGGGCAATAAGGGGTTGGGTGTCAGAAATGGACATCAATCCAAACATGGATCCAGATCCAGATCCGGGAGATCCGGGAGATCCGGTAGAGCAGGCAGCGGGCAGGGAACTGGGTGATGGTGAGGTTGCGGACGGTGCAGGGAGGGGAGGTTTGAGAACCAACATGCCTTTCTTGGGTTGGAACAATATGTTGTATTATTTTTATTGTATTATGCTGTTTATGCTGTATATTATGTTGTATTGGTATAGGGACATTATGTTGCGAAAAAACATTTTGATGGAAAGGAAATAATGGAAGTGGTTGCATGGAAATAAAAATACCAGTAATGTTTAATAAGAGACCTTGTTGGGCGTACTTGAGATGTACGTGTTGAAAAGGAGTCACCGCGTATAAAGTTGTGCCCTCTTTGAAAAAAAGACCGCCCAAGAGCGCTGTGTGTCCCGTGTGCATCGTACCGGACGGGCACCACCCGGCTATGCGCCCCGCGACCTGCCTTCGCGGCTTCAACGCGCCGCCGGCTGAGAAGAACTCATGTTTGGCCTATACCGTCCACATACCGATCACTACCGTCACACACACACACATACACACATACACATACGGGTAGGATGGTGCTTATAGGCGATCTGGCAGCCCTTGAGCCCTCGGCTCGTATTAGGGCGGTTTGCAGGTACGGGGAACGCGCCCCCACGACCATGTAACAACAACACACATACATACATACATACATACATACATACATACATACATACATACATAGGACGATAATAGCCCCTCGCGCACCCGCATCAATACCAATACAACCATATCCATGGGGGCCCACACGGCTTCCACCGACACCCCCCCACGTGTGTGTGTGCGCGTGGAGCTTGTACCTCGTAACATACCCCATCCCCCCCACCTGTGCGACACCCCACAACGCCAAGCCGCAGCAGAGCAGGCCGTACTTGTACGGCACATCGAGTACGAGCGCCGCGGAGGTGGTGGCAATGGCCGCGAAGGCCACGAGGCCCATGACTCGGAGGATGGAGTCGCGCCGATACGTGATCGCCAACCAGCCAGCTGCGTTGTGAAGGGGGAAAAGAGGGGAAAAAAGACGAAAACACCACAGACGAGTGAAGCTGATACCATACCTTACCCCGGATGGATAGACGGAGACTGCATCAGGAATAGACGGGCATCGGAGGCATCTGCAGGAAGTTACCGACCAACAGCAAAACTGGAAAGTAGTCATCGCAGCGACGTGGCCGGCTAGAAGATTGCGAATGACTACCTAGCGGCCAAAGGGGCCTACGAGAGCAGCCGCGTATGTGGATGTGTGTATGTGGGGGGTGGGGGGGGAGAGGAGGGGGTGATGGCGGAAGAACAACGCCGCCGAGTGCCTTTGGAGAGGAAAAGGGGGGCGGGGGGGAGAAGACGAACCACGAACAAGTGAAGCTGCTGCCAGGCAACAGTGTACCAATAGTATAACTTTTTAGGAAAAGGGGGCCGGGGGGAGAAGACGAACCACGAACAAGTGAAGCCGCTGCCAGGCAACAGTGTACCAATAGTATAACTTTTTAGGAAAAGGGGGGGGGGGGAGAAGACGAACCACGAACAAGTGAAGCCGCTGCCAGGCAACAGTGTACCAATAGTATAACTTTTTAGGAAAAGGGGGGCGGGGGGGAGAAGACGAACCACAAACGAGTGAAGCCGCTGCCAAGGTGTGTGGAAAGACGAACCAGATCAACGAGTGAAGCTGCTGCCAAGGGGGGAAAGAGTGTACAAGCAGGAAGCAGAACTGACCAGTAAGCGTTCCAAAAGGAGGGAGGGGGGAAAGTAAGCATGGCATGTGGGTCTTGGGGGATAAGGATGACGTGTGGGCCATAAGACCGGGAAGGGGGTGGGAGAAGACGTAGCCGGCATATGGCCAGTCACCACCTTGGCGCTTATCCTTACCTCGCGGAGGTCTGAGAAGGAGTAAAAAATATATTGGGACGTATCCAATTTCTGGTGGTGAAAATGGTGCACCTTGGCGAGAAGGGAATGGAAGGGTGACTGAATACTCTGAATACTCTCGTAATCCACCCGCAGTGGATCGGCAGCGGAGGAAGGGGGGCGGGAGAAAAGCGCGTGCATCGCAAAGGCCGTACAGGGAAACCGGTCGACGTGGCCAGCGTGACTTTTCGAAACGAGCGAAATTCACCATGAGTGTGGTGTGCGGTTGTTTGTGTGTGTGTGTGTGTGTTTTCGGTTTCGTGTCTCTGGGTTGGCGAGGCTGCGGGAATCGCAGGCAGGGGTTAAAGACATGGATAGATGCCTTCAACCTGCGGTCTGCCGCAACGTGTCGGCTTGTGGGCACGGCACATCTTGGTAATGCCGTAGTGTGGCGAGTTTGCATTGGCGATTGTCGTCAAGGAATTTCATCTAGAATTCCAATACGGGGAATAACGGGACGCATGCAGGATCCGCTGTCGCAGTCCAGCTGCTGCTTGGCCAGGTTAGGCTGCACACGCCTGCCGTCGTACTCTCAGTAGACCAACCTAGCAGTAGTACACCAACCTGGAATAGCCGCTGCTGCAAGGAAAGTGCCTTGGATTGCTTGGGCGTAACCAACTCTCTGCAAGCAGAGGCGTTGTAGGACCGGTTTCGGATGACGAGTTGTTGTGTCACGGAGACCGGAGAGCCGTGTGTCGCCCAAGGCTTCGAGCGTACCTCGTTTGCCCTGTCATCGTCACCTTCTAGTACATTGATGTACGTGCTCAGCACGCTGGAGGCCCAAATGCCGGTGGCGATTCCATCAGTGATTCTGACAGCAAAGGTAACTCGCACATTGTGGTTCACCATGTTATCATGCTAAGCTACTCAATGAAATGATGGAATTACGCATGACAGGCAAGCGGTAATTACTTGTCTGGGCGCTGACTTTCGTGCGTTCATAAAGCCCCAAAGCTGCATGGGCAATTAAATTAATCATAAAAATGGGCAAGTGAATGTATTCATTTTAATCTGCATTCGTTAGCGCAGTCGAGCTAAGAAACTGTCCCGGAATCTGAAAGCGGCATCTGACCAAGGGGTCGCTGTCTCAGATTACATCCAGTAAAGCCCAACACTACACCAAACGACTTCCGTATATGAATCTGTTTGGTCTTAGCACTTTTGCCAAAGGCTTCCGCTGGTGTTGACGCTCTCAGGGGAGCTGCCCTACGCGGCTTGACGGACACCAGTACTTCTTTTTTGCCAATAGCAATCAGCATGCAATAAGTCAAGAGTTCCATGCATCAATTGCACAACTGCACTGCATACGCAACTGGCCATAGGAGCCCGATTGGCCGACTTCACATCTATTTGGCTCTCAACCCCAATTACCCGCTGCCTGATACCCGCTCGTGTGAAATTCTTTGCAACTACCCAAGTCATCCTAGGCGTAAGGTTGCCGCGCATGCCATGTATTGTGCAGAAGTCTAGCTAACGGCAGTTCCGAACGTGCCAGTTCGGGACTTTGGCGATTTAGCATGCCACTGTACGGAATGGGATCCAGGACGTGACCTTTGAAGGTCAACTTATCACAGGGCCGCGCTCACGCGCAACCACGCATGACACTCCGTTAAGGCTAACCCAATTACTAGGCCAGTACTTGACCGGCTGAGGTTAGGGACAGCGAAAGCAATGGCGCACCAGCCGAACGGCTGGCTTGGGCAGCTTCCCCCTGACATAAAGGCTAAAGCATTTATCCGGCGAGATCTGTATGGCTCCTATTGCAATAACGTTATACCTCTTGCTTCTCAGCTGCGATTGGCAGTGCTCAGTATCACACTATTACCTATAAAACTGCTAGCATGTTTATTGTGTGTGTTGTCTTTCTATTTAGTAGTAGTTTTTGGGAACACGTTGTTCCGTGAACCTTTTAAGACCAAGTACATGGCATTCTGGGGCAAGTTCTGGACACGCGCTTTACTTTACTGCTTGGGCTTCTGGTCGATTAGTTGGGTGTATGTCAACCCTGACGGGTCATCAAGTCTCAAGCCCCCCAGTGGCCTGAAGGAACGGCGTTTTGGTGGCTACGTATCCAACCACTGCAGGTATTGGCTTTGCATGGTGCACCGTGTGAACATATGTATGCGATTATGAACAGAGCTTCCGCCCGCGGATCGGGGGTATGGGAATTAAGTCATGGGGGCTACAAAGGAAAGTGTGACCCGGTGCAAAGGTGTACACGATGCACCGCCTGGGACCCCTAAAGCGAAATATGTCTATCCCATACGTGTTCCACATCGGCCTTGTAGGTGCCCACAGGTTTGCATAACTCAGTCCCTTCTCCAGGCACGGCCATAACCTCTTCCCACCTTTGCCATCCATCCACGCCCCGCCCCTCTCCTAGTTGGATCGACATCGTGCTTTACATGTCACGCCTATTCCCTAGCTTTGTCGCGAAGAAGGAGGTCTCGACTCTGCCTCTCATCGGTCCAATCAGCAAAGCCATGCAATGCATGTTCGTTGACCGGGAGGCCCGATTGGCGGCCCTGGGAGACAAGGGCGAAGGCGGCGGTCAGGGCACTTCACAGGTATAGGGATCTGCATTATTATAACTACACGTTAATCGGGCTCTGGTGGGATTTTATAGTTCAGACATTAAATGCAATACATGCACCGCTAACGCTGGAATGATTAGAGGATTTGTCGCCGATGGTCGTCTAGTAATGGACAAGCGGCGCAGTGCAGTGGTTGTTTGGTGTCCACCTTCACTCGTGATCTGACGCCTATGCCCCAGATGGACTGCTTTGCGGGGAATGGCAATCTATGATATTTGCATGCGAGCGAGGCGTAGATTTTGATTCGTGAAGCTTCCTGAATGGTTGAAAGAGCTTTCACTGTCGCATTATACTACGCATTCCCCATTGCTTTGCTTGCAGCTTGTCCGGGACCGGATGCTTCGCAAGTTCAAGGACACGTCCACTGAACTGCCCATGCTACTGTTTCCGGAGGGCACCACGACCAATAACCTCTACGTCATGCCCTTTAAGCGCGGCGCATTCATCGCTGGTGTTCCTGTGCAGCCGCTGGTCCTCAAGTACGACACATCGGGCCGCTTCTCACCTACCTGGGATAGCATGCCTGGCCACTTTCACATTTTCTTGGTGCTGACGGAGTTATCCTTCCGCGTCACCTGCTATGTGCTGCCCCTATATGAGCCATCGGAGGCTGAGAAGGCTGATCCGGCGTTGTACGCAGACAATGTACGGCAGATGATGGTAAAGTACAGCAAGATCCCGGCCTGCGAGGACACATATGCCGACAAGCTGGCTTTTTTCAAGTACATCATGGACAGGATGCGGCAGGACGGCTTGCACGGCAGCCGGGCGCCGGAAACGTGCGGGGCAGCAGATGTTGCTGGCGAGGCGCCTTCAAAAGTGGAGGTGGAGGCGCGGGCAGCAGCGGACGGCATGCGACAGCGGAGATAGTTCGCGACAGCGGCGGTGGAGCGTGTCGATACGGTATTCTCGCAGGGTTTACGTTTTTCTCAGGAAATGGGGATTGATCAAGCTCAGCTATTGACATGGTGATGTTTAGGACGGACTGCGATTTTACCATGTATGTTTTGCGACACGATATTGCGATAAATTGGGCATTTGCACGGGCAACCTCTCCATTATCTATGTATGAGGACCCGCGTGATTAGGCATTCCGTACAGAAGACCGCGGTGCAACGCGCGTAAATGAGTGGGATAGGTAGCAATAGGCATATGTCTGCGAACTGGGTAACAGGCAAAGTTTTGACTGCCAGGCATCAAACCTCTTCTCTCTATGCACTGCATGCCTAGATAGCGATTCTTAAGGATTTCCCATTTTTCGTCAGTGGGATGAATGACGAACCCAATTCGGCAGTACAACAAGCGTGGCGACACAGATGTTCGCTGGAACTACTTCATAAGCTGCTGAATTCGTGTCCTTGTTTTTGAGTTCATTGATCGCTACCCCTTACACTGCAGCAGAGCTATGGCTGAACCTGGCGGCTGTATATCGCTGCTGCCGCGTGCTCAGATTTCTTGTGGGAATCGCCTCTATGGCTAGCTCGATCAAGGTGATATAATATTAGCGAAGGTTGTATCGCATTGTGGATTCTAATGAACTCGTCAGCTCGCAATCGTGTCGTACTGTGACTGTTCCAGGGTTGTTCTTGGGACACGAACTTAAGAAGTAAGCATTCACAAACTCCCTTTGTTCCATCCGTACTGTGCGAATTCTAGCTTGAGCGCTTGCGAAGGTAGTCATCTTTATCAACTTGCAAAGATCCTTTCCTTTGAAGCGGCAAGACTTTGAAGCAGATTCCTTGCATTTCGGCACTATCAGAATATGGACATCATGGATATGGCCCACCTCGCCTCACGGGAGCGGTCTCCGCGTGCTGTCGCGTCACCAATTTCCCCTAGCACGTCACACCAGGGTTCCGGCTTCTTTGGGTCGGCACCAACGTCAAGCTGGATGACTTCGATGGGGTGCAACGCCTCGGAGTGTCAGCGAGTTAGTGCCCCGGGAGAGGAGGACTTGCGGCGAAGTTCTTTTGAAGAGTCGTCCCCGTTGCTGCGCCGGACCTCTTTGGAACTTGGTTTGACCCGCTTCCAGCGATCATTCAAGCGCTACTCCGCCTTCGATTGAGCTTCCAAATTGCCAAGATTGGCATTTTGCTGACCGGTTGCTGACGCGGCCAAAGGCGGCAATCAGACAAGCGTTAAGGAGAGCCCTTCATGGCATGTAAGATTTAATTAAGCGCGTTCGATAAATGGCTTTGTTTTGCTGGCACTCGGAGTTTTCTTGTTCCGGATTTCTGGCAAATTCCTCAAATGCTCGAGGCATGTCCTGAATTGTGTGCGATCGGCACAGTGAAATGCTTTGTCTGTCGCATCTCAGGTGGTATGCGAACTGACATGCATTTTTACCGATCGTGTGTACCGATATCATGAAAGTGGTATATCATGAGAAACGTTGATGATTCGAATTCGCATTTTATTGTTGAGGCGATGTTGAGGCATTGTTGCTTGGTTGGCCGTTTATTGGTGGTTGATGTCTGTGCTGATAAGATGGTCTTTGTCCGGCATGTGCGGGAGGAACCGAATACTATCCTCTGGCTGAACTTTACATACTGAATTTGCGTACTAAATTATACTATCTTCTACATTTCTGTAAAACTAGAGAACAACATTTGACTCCTCGTCGCCTCTCTCATGGGAACCGATACAAAGCCGCAACAGGCGCAGAAAGCCCAAGATACACAGAAGCAGAATGGAAATGAAAAAGAGAAGACTGGCGGAGCTTCCACTCAAGGGCTTGCAAAGCGCAAACCGCAGGACAAGGACAACAAAGAGGTGGACTTGCCACGCTTGTTTCTGATAATACAGGTTATGTTGGCTTTGCTTGATAAGGTTTGCCTTCACACCATTGCAGAAGGCTAAGCGCCGGAGGTCTGAGAAGCCGGCCGTCCCGAAGGGGATCCACTTTCGGCTGCTCTGCCACGAGGGCCAAGCAGGCGCTGTTATCGGCAAGGTGTGATGTTGTAGGCTCAGATCGAGGTTAGATGGATGGGTTCCGTCATTGTGAAATGTCGTGTTGCACCTGTGAGCTGGTGACGAGCTGGAAGCGATTTGTTTTATAGCACCACATCTACCTGCGCCGTTCCACATACTATCTATTGCTTGGTTCCTTGCGCTGGCCTCACGCTTGCCGTGTCAGGGTGGAGACACGGTTCGAAACATCAGGAAAAATTCAGGCGCCGAGGTCTCAGTCCAACCTCCCATCCAGGGCCATCGCCTACGTGTCATAATTATCGATTCTTCGCCAGGGTGAGCTCAATCCTTAAAACTAGACGCACCAGATTGCGCGTGGCGTGGATTCACAAGTTCCGTAATGGCGTTTGTTGGAACGTCGCCTTCAGGAACCGTGCTGTACCATCGTATCCAGCAAAGGAGGCCTTGCTGACATGCGCTATGTTGACCGTCGAGGGGGATCAACCGCTAAATGCCCCGGACCCGTCCAAACTGGTGAGCCTGCGTGTTGCCAAACGCTAGCACGGCTGGTTTTGGCGTCGCCAGCGCCCTCTCGCGCACCATGTGCCTAACGACGTTTTGCCGATTTTCACAATTTTCCCACACGTAGTAGTGCACGTAATGCGGAACCGCCATTTGCCGGGTTGATTCTTATACTTTGTAAAAAAATCCAATGTCCATATGTTTCCCGCAGCTCAGTTTTTCAGTAGTTGCCGAGGTGTCCTGTACGCCTATGCCTCTCGAGTAACCTCTGCAGAGTAAGCTCATATGGTAATGCCGTACTTGTGGATTCAGGTTGATGTTCGTTTGCTCGTGCATTCGGCGCTCGCGGCGGGACTGTTGGGCCTGAAACACTCACACGGCAGCCTGGCGGCAGGTGATATATCAGCTCGGTGCGGAGCCAACGTGATCATACCGGGGGAAGCCGAGCGCCCTAAGCTGGCGGAGGCTGATGAGGAGTATCTGTTGGTGAGGATTTGACGCAAGCGATTTGTCAGGACGAGAACTGGATTTGTCATATGTTGCTGTCTTTTGACCGGCTATTAAACGCATGGTGGCTACGCGATTTCCACAGTGGGTTATTCCTTATTGATTTCCTGTCGGCATCTTTTACAACTTTCGTCAAAGATGCAAAAGGGCCATGCAAATGACCCATTCGCCATGGTGTATGGCATTTTTTAGCTCCATGTGATCTCAGCCGGGGGCACCCAGGGCATCTCTCGTTGCTTTGCCTGCTTGCGAATTGCGCCGCATAACAACAATGGCTGTTGGGAGATCTTGCCCATCGCACCTGAGACTTTTGTGCCTGACGACCAACAAACATTTTGCCGCACCTCTTGTGAAGGTGTCCTTTGGATTGAGCTGGCACCCGCTATCAGTTCGCCAACAGCGCGGGACCCCTTTGTATTTGAGATATGCATCTTTTGTTTCTCCGGCAATAGCCAGCACCACCCAGCCGCCAGCACTAGCTGTCGTTCATTGTTGCTCTCACAACGCACATGCGATTCGCGAGGAGCATGGTGCTGTCGGCTGCTTCTTTTTTCTGCGGCGCGTTTTCCAGCGGCCCTTCCGGTTCGCTGTCCAACGCACCCGTTTTACCAGCTGTCTCCACAAATACTCCTCTTGCCATTTCTTTTTGTGCTCCATGGCGATGGGATGCGCCTTGCCAAGGCCACTGAAACGTTTCCACATAATGCGGGAGCCCAGTTTGCCCAACGCTTTCCAACAGCTACATCCTTCCTTCTCGCCGGACTTTAAATGCCCAATGCGCTTCCTTGCCTTTCTTCCTCCGCCTGTTGTTCTGCGTTTGTGGCTGGGTACCGGGCAACCCGTCTTTTTTGCGTGTCTCTCTGGATTCCATCGCAGCTTCGCGGGCCCTGGCCAGCCGTGTATGCGGCTTTGGGCATGGTTGCGGATGAAGTCCGACGGCAGTTCTTTGAGCTGCGGGATCCTCATGTAGAGCCGACGCTTGGTCCGGCCCCCGCTGCGTTTGGCTTTGCTGGGCCGCCGCCCATGGGCATGGTGCCAGGGCCATTTGACCCCCTTGAAGCTATGCAGCTGGGCATTGGGCTTGGCATGGAAATGGCAGCAGCGGCTGCGGCGGGGGTGGCGGGCCCTGCCCCGCACATGGGCGGGCCGGTTCACGGGAATGGCCCTATGGCGGGGGGAGGCGGCGGTGGACATGTGACTCCAAATGGCGGCAGCCTGCATATTGCAGGCCTTGTGCCTGAGTTTCGCAGTTCCGCAGAGGCGTCTACGCCAATCGCTGTGACATACAAGCTGGTCGTGCCCGAGAGCAAGGCCGGCAGGTTCATCGGCAAGGGCGGCGAGGTACGTGGTTGTGTTGATAGATAGAGATTGCCTTGTGGAGGGTAATGGAAAATGTGGGCGCATATTTGGTTGGGCTTTCGTGGTGTTGCTGTTTTGAGCTTCGGCTTTAATTATTCCGAAGACTGGCTGCTGACATTGGTGCTAACGTTTGAGCTTGTTAGAGCGTGGCCCAGTGCTTTCATGGGTTTGTTGGTCTGTAAACACTTGATGTTTACAGACCCCATGGCTGATTTCTTGCGTTTGTTAGATTGCCGTCTCATACGATTCAATGCTGGCTGGGGTGACAACTCTGCGACGCAGAACCTGCGGGATATGCGGCTGGCCCTGGGATTGAGTACACTTAAGGTGCACCCGGCGGTCAAAGACACGTCTGTCCGCGTGCTGGAGGTGTCTTCCACCGAGCCCGCTGCATCAAACCGGTGTGCCGCGGCGGACGCGCTGCTTTACTACGTGGAAAGGTGGGTTGAATTATTATGGCTGTTGCTTGTTGATTTGCGGCTCTGAAATTAACTGGCGATGCGGTCTTGGCGATGAGGAACGGGGCAGTCTTTTGTTTTTCTCAACTTTTCTGGCTGCTGTGCAAGGAGGGGAGGGGACCCCGTGCGCATTCGTTTGCGATCTGTGCAGGGGCATGGACGACGACAAGCAGCATTGCACGCTTTCCTTTAAAGAAGCGTCGCGAAGAAACATGGCCCTGGGCCCTGCCCCTCATGCAATAACGATGCGGTTTGGATGATGAGTTGGTCACCATGCGGCTTACATAATTTGCACTGGTCGACAACATTACACGGAGACGCTATGTACAGACTCCCCTCATTCACCACGGGGTGCTTTATTTGCCTGTATGATCATACAGGTTGGGCCAGAATACGCCTCAGGGTGCAGGGGGAAACCGAGGGCGCATCACGATTAAGATGCTATTGCAACAACAACACTGCGGGCCTGTCGTGGGGCCTCGCGCAGCAGTCATTCGGCAGGTGGGTGTGGCAGAGATTGCGTTTTTAGGTGCCAATGTCATTTTTCCGGCGGATGGGGACCTCTGCAGGCCTGCGTTTCCGGGACAATAATTACATATTATTCGTTTTAGGAGTTCATGCGTGTTGTCACTTGGCATCATTTTCATCTTATACCAGTCTAGCATATCCAATTTCTCTATGCTTTATTATTCTCCTATCCTTGATTGGAGGGGAGGGGACAATACGGGGCAGATGTGCTCCTTAGAATCATCCCAGCGTGTGCGATGCGCTGCATGGCACTAGCGGCCAGTATCACTGTGGCACGGTTTTGCAGACGCGGCACCCTGGGATGCGGCTACCTGGTGTCCATGCGCCTTTACTGCCCCCATTGTTTGGTGGCACGGCATAAATGCAGAGGTAGCTGTGACGCAACACTTCGTACATCATTGCAATATGAAGGCGTGTGTTCTGCATGCCAACAGTACGTTAACACTAGTACCGGGCTGATGATCTCGCATGTCGCCTGCGCACTCTGGCCGACTGTTGCCGGTACCGCTGGTCGCCGCTGCAGATCAGCGCCCTGACCAAGGCTAGCTGTGTGGTGCACAAGAAGGGTGATGTCCCGCCATATGGCGCTCCAGACGACCAGGAGTTGGAGGCGGAAGGTGACGCACAGCACGTGTTTGAGGTAGGTACGGCGCTGGCGGGGAGGCAGGGCAGCAGAGGTGGAGGGAGGATGGGCGGACCGCTCGGCAGGGCTCCTTGGGAACCCTGGGCGGTACATCATTTTTTCCATGAGCACTAACTACGCCCGAAGTTATTATTCGAGTAAAATTCTCTACAAGCTCTACCAATCAGTGCTGATGAAGGCTAAGAGCACTTGTGGAGCGTAGACGCATGGAGCCCTTATTGTTTCTCGTTTTAGGGGACCTATTGTTATGGATCTCCCTTACGGCTGGGCTCAGCTTTTCCCCCTGATATCTTACGCATAGCCGCATACGATAACGATTTTAGGGGTTTTCATGGTACGTATGTTGGTCGCTGTCATGCACTGTGGCAGCAACCTTCTGTGCGGCACTGACGCCGGTCCACTTATGGTCTGCTCGCTCCAGGCTATCCGCATCGTGGCGGCCATCGTCCGTGGTTGCGAGCTACGGCGCCAGGGCCAAATAGCCGTGCGCGAGACCTTGGGCACTCCGGAGTTCGATATTGTTCGTGGCAACATACCTCCCCACGCTGCGCCGCACACAGCGATGGGTCCCATGGTTTCTGCCACGCGGGCTGGGCCCGGTATGGAGCCGGAGGACAGCTGGGTCTCGCCGGATGCTCCCGTTGGCCACGGTGGACCGCCGGGCGGCCCACCCGGACCTTCGATGCAGCCACAGCACCAGCAGCAGATGCAAATGCAGCACCAGCAAGGCCAGATGCCGCAGCACTATCATCCTCACCAGGAGCACCCACATGAGGAGCGGTATACACAGCAGGCGCCGGTCCATCCTCAGCCCCCCATGCAGGGGCCTCTCGGGCCCATGGACCAGCAGCAGCAACAACAACAACAGCAGGTGCAGCTACCGCCTCATCTGCAGAAGCAGAAGCAGCGATTGGATGCAAGCTCGCCCTTGGATAAGGGCCAGGGTGTGGCAGGCGGATCGGTGGTAGCTGGGTTGCCCCCCCTGGGCCCCAACGACGTGCGTTTGACCATTTTCGTGGCGGCTGCGCTCCTCAATGCGCCTGAGGGCATAAACGGCACCAACGTCCAGCAAGTCCAAGCGGTGCGGCCTGGGGACCAGGGGCAGGAGGGCCGCGACGCTAACCTTAATCTGCAGATCAACTCACACGGGATTGGGATAGCATGGAACTTAAGACTTAAAAAGATCGAGGAACCGAAGCGAAGCTTGGAGGAATTATGAACATGAAGATCGCTTCCTGCATAGCGCAAAACAAGAGTCCACAGCCGCGACGGGCAGTGGTCTGCCCATCCGCATCCGGTGGATGCTGCCAACATATGCTGTGTGCAGCCATTAACGCGTAGTGCGGTTGGAACACCGGCAACCGAGCGCTGCACCTCCAGCTGACAAAATGTTGCCGCGCTTCACGTGCTTGTTTTGTGTTTGTAGGTCACGAACACCGTGGTTACTCTGCGCCAGCCTGTGGCTAGCGGGGACTACGAGCTGGACATCACAGGAAACTTTGCACAGGTGGGTAAAAGGGCGTCTGGGGACTGCAGCAATTTAACCGCTGCCGGATGCAAGTGGAGTAGCTACGGCTTTGCTGATGCCTCGTACAGTTCTGCAACACATGGACGGTTTGGTACCTTGTATGTATGTGCCCCCGCGTTTTTCCACACGTGAGCGACCTGCTCGTTGGTTGAGGTTAGTTCTGGGTGACAGAGGTCTCCGTGGGCGCTTTGCCTGTCACGATGAGATGAACACTGCTTTGCGCCTGTTTGTTTGTTGCCCTGGCGTGGGCGCTTACCAGCGGACTGATCCATAGCTGGGGTAGCAAATCTTCCGTCCCGAGGGTATGGCGGGATGGCAGAAAGCGAAACGTGGGTTTTCAAAAGATGCCATGAGACGCGTTAATGTTATTTGCCCTTCCCTAACTCCCTAACACAGGTTATGCAGGCGCACACGCTGCTATCAAACATCATGACCATTGGTGCAATTTTGCAGCAAAAGCCCCAACTGGCTCCGCAGCAAGTGCCGCCTCCGGCGGCGGCAGCGACTGCTCCCAGCGGCGCTGGTCAGCCGGGCGCCGCCGCTGCGTCGACGCCGGTGACAACCGCCAGTGGGGCGCAGCACCAGGTGGTGGTGCAGCCGAATCAGGGGGTCGTGATTGTGTCACAGCCGCCACCGCAGCAACAGCAACAGCCGCCTGCTGTCCAGTCTCCTCCTCACACTCAACCGATTGCTGCTGCGCAACAGCAGCAGCAACAGGCGCTGGCACCACAGCATCCGCCTTCGGCGGCACAGACACAGCCTGTACCGCAAGCCGTGCAGACTGGCCCTTCCCAGGGTGCGGCTGTTTATCCTGGTGCTAATCCGAACGTGCCCTCGCAGCAACAGCAGCAGCAGGCACTGCCCGCGCAACAGGTGCTCCCCCAGCAGCAGGCGCCACCACAACAGCACGCGCAGCAGCAGCAGCATGAACAGCAGCAGCAAGTGCAGCAGCAGCAACAGATGGAGCAACCTGGAAAAGGCGTTCCGTCGGCGCACCCGCAATCGCAGCAACAGCAGAACCAGCAGCAGCGATCCCAGCAGTATCCCCAGGACGCCGCCGCCCCTCCGCGTCAGACGCAGAACCAGCAACAACCCTACGCAGGTCAGCAACAGCCATTTCCGGCGCAGCAGACAGCTCAGTCACAGCAGCCGCAGCAGCCTCCGCCCCTGATGGCTAACACGGGGCGGGCAGCGGTACCCTACCAGCAGCAGATACCACAACAGCAGCAAACACAGCAGCAGCAGACGCAGCAGCAGCAGCAACAGCCGGTTGGACAAACTGCAGGCTACCCACAGGCGGCTGCGCTGCCGGTTGCAGGGCAACCGCAGCAGCAATACATGCCGCAGCAACAAAATCAGGCGCAACAGCCGTCGTACAGTCAGTCGTACGCACAGCAGCCACAGGTTCAGCAGCAATCCAGTTACTCGCAGACAGCCACAGCAGCGCAGCAAGAGCAAGCCCATGGCACCAACCCGTACTCCGTTTACGGCGCTTCCGGGTATAACAGCTCAGGTTCCGCTGCGCCGGCAGCGGCAGCAGCAGCCGGCTCTGCACAGCCTAGCGGTCAAGCGCCGGCAACAAGTTCGTACGGCGGGCAGTACAGCCAGGCTGCGGCGGCGCTGACCTCTTCGTCGCCTGCTGGTGCCACGCCGGCAGGCCCTGGCCCCGTTGGTACGGCAACGGCTTCGTATGCTCAGCAGCCGCAGTACGCAGGTTACGGCACGGCTGGCTACCACGTTGCACCGCAGCCGAGCCATCCTTACTATCAGCAGCCACAGCAGCAGCAGCAGCCTGGTGCGCCATCAGTACACGACCAGTACTACATGCACATGCAACAACAGTACGCTGCGTACCAGGCGGCTGCGGCAGCTGCCACGGCAGCCGCGACCTACACGCCTGCTGCGTATGGGTATGGGTATGGGCCCGCGCCGACGGCCGCGCCGCAGTAATGGTCCTGCTTTTGTAGCCTAGCTGTTCAGCTAGTTGTTCACTAGCTAGCTTGACGTCCTGTCCTGCGCACTGAGTTTAAGGTGGTGGCGCAGTGACGCAGTTGTTGGACCCTGCTACAATCCAGTTTTTAGATGGTACTGTAGCTCAGCTTAGCAGCATCGGTTTCTTTGTCAGTCTGCTGCTGACAAGCGACCGACTACGCCGCAGGGCCCACAAAATGGAATCATGTTATGTCTGTCAGTTGTGCTTCTGTCTTAGCAATTTGCTCCTCCCTTCGCGGCTTTGGGTTAACAATGATTTAAATCCAACTGCCGTTCACTATCCTCGCCGTGGGCATGGATAACAAACTTGGCTGTTGTTGGCCTAGTCCTTAAAGGCGTCACAGCCTTCTCGCCTGCTGAGCTTTATGCCGTGATGCAGCGGCTCAATAACAGTATCCGTCCCCGAAATGTTGTTTACCTGTTATTCCTTACACAACATCTACTGTCAGTACTGGACATCTTATGCCGCTCGCTTCTCTTTGTGGTTGCGAAGCGGTGTAAACCACCGCCAAGGCGTGGTGCATCCGTCTCCGCAAGCAGTAGCGGTTCGTGTACCGACGCCTCTACCCAGTGGTTATTGAATGCCTGACGCAACTAACAATGGCCCGCCGGGGCTTTCCGTAATAGGGGCCGCACGCTTGCGGTCTGCTGATCTACCTGTTGCTGCCTCCTCCAGCAGCGGGAGCTCCAAGGCTAGCCGCTCAACTTCTCAACTCCACATTTAGATGCAAAGTCCAGAGCCTTGCTGGGCTGGAGAGAGTTCTAATTGGGTTCAATGTTTGCTTTGGGTTGTTGAGACTGAACCATGGGATAGCGCCCATGCTCAGATTGCTTTGTCGGGGTGTCCCTTATGTGCCAGAGTGTCTCAGCGGGGATCTCGATTTCAGGTGTTGAGGCGCACACCGCATGGCATGAAGATTTCGTTGCATCTTTTTGCTGCCTTCGCATTTTAGTTTCTACGAGCCTCGTGCGCTCGTTCACACCGGCCACCTCGCTTGTGCTCTTGAGTGCTAGCCATGGCAAGCGGTGAGCCAGCGTGGGCGACAGGGCACTGCTGTCCTCTGCGCAGCCATCCACTTGACGGGCGTGCGAAATGCCGACACCAACTCCAGAGTCTTCATATGAATTCTAATCTCACCCACGCGTTGTTACCAGGATAAGTTGATCTATCTCGATGGCTGTCGCTGTCACCTGCCTGCATGCGAAATGACCAACTCTTGGACAAAGGGCTGGTCCGCGGCCTGGGGTGTCGATGGCGGGACATGGCGTCTGTGTGCTGCTAAGCATTTCAATCAGAAGCCCCTTCGTGTTGCAATGGTGCGAATGTTTACGGGCGTGTGGGGGGCCAAGTCGTTACTGTAGAATTCTGTTAGGACTGGCAATGGTCTGCTTAGGATGCATGCGCGCACTTCGATAAGATCTTTCCCAGCTGAGCTCTGACGGCCCAGGACATTATCCCTCTTGGAAGGAACGTGTGCCTTGTTTAGGGTGTCGCGGATGGCTTGGAGCTGCTCTTTGTCCATAGTCGCACTTTTTGGATGGCGTGGGCAGGAGAGCTGCGCTCTGGTGGAAGCCCCTAAGTTCTGTTGCGCAAACGTGTTCATGATCATGATATGCCCCTGTACAATGATGTGTATCGGTCCTAGCGGCCAGTCATAAGAGTGTGGCAGGAGCGTCCTCGTCCTTGTGGTAGCGGTAGATGTTCTCATCCAAATATGATAGCTTATTTCACTGCCATCTCGTTGCGAGGTAATACGCGCCCTTACTCTTCAGGAAGCGCACCCCGTATGCTTGCTAAGTCGCCTTTCTTAAACCAACTGTACTTGCAGCACCAGTGCTTCGTGGCCTTTTAGCCACATAGCTAGCACGCCGGGCAGGTCTGCTTACCAAACTGTTGGCTGCGGCCATCACGCCGTGCCCTGCCCGGCAGTGTCCAAGCGCACGCTTGCGTTGCGCTATGATGCTGTTCAGGGCATGTGCGCAGGTCCCGGTAACGTGGCCGCTTGCATTTGTTTTTAGGTGTTATGGGCAGCATGCTGGCAAGTGTAAACAGGGCAGGATTTAGGTTTTAAGAGGGCAATTTTGCAGATCGGCAAGTTGACGATATTTGCCGATAATGAAATCTTAAACTCTAAAACCATAACCAGCCAGGCCAATCCGAGTATCAGGCTAGGGTGCCCATGCCAGGGTTCTAGGTGATCCGGCCATGAAGGTGGCCAACTCTTCGCGAGGAGCATCATGTGGGATGATCAGGGTACCAATGACCCGAGGGAAGCTCGATACTTCAATTGTAAGCTGAACCAACACAGCGGTTTCAATGGTTACCCGCGCAGGCGGCGTTGCATGACCCCCCTGTCCCCAGGGCGCAGGTCTGGTCCTATGGAACCTCGCTTTGCTTTGGTGAATTCCAACGCCTCCAAAGAGTGCTGCGCACCCATCCCCTTGCTTTGCAGCAGTGCATGCCATTCCTGCTCGACTTCCTGCCACCACATTTGGTTAGCCAACAGACTGGAGATCGACATGAAGCTTCTTTACGGTTGCGCATGCCGCCCTTTCCTTGCGCAGCCAGCGGTCTGGCAAGGACACTTGCTACGCCTGATTTTTATCGCCCACTGTTGAAGTTTCCACTGTTTGAAACTCCCAAAGCTTGAGCCATACAGGCGATACAAGAATCTTAGCGTGGGATAGTCGCCTTTGTTTGTCATACACCGTGTGATGAGCACGGGCAGGAAAAACCGCTCCAAGCAGGATGCTAAGCAAGCAACAATCTCTACTCGTCTGGGAATCGGGGATTATACCTGCTGAAGTCTTGCGTTTTGCACGGCTACCTAAAGGTTGAGCGACATTAGATCAGATCAGGCGCTGCAAAGCTTGAGCCATACAGGCGATACAAGAATCTTAGCGTGGGATAGTCGCCTTTGTTTGTCATACACCGTGTGATGAGCACGGGCAGGAAAAACCGCTCCAAGCAGGATGCTAAGCAAGCAACAATCTCTACTCGTCTGGGAATCGGGGATTATACCTGCTGAAGTCTTGCGTTTTGCACGGCTACCTAAAGGTTGAGCGACATTAGATCAGATCAGGCGCTGCAAAGTGATGAATATATTATCGGGTTTGGGAGCAGTTCAGCCAACGTACGGGTATGTCACTTAAATTTCCTAATTGCTTGGGAGACTTATATTTGGGCATGCAAGAAGGGTATCCGGCGGCTTATGGGCACGGTCGGTGTAGGGTAGATTGAACCACAAGCAACATTACATTGGAGGTGGTGTCCCCTTCGTCAAGTCATATAACGAGCACTTGGGAGAGTTCCATGTCGTTGCCATCCCCGATGTACGCATGCTCAAGCAGCTCTGAAAGGAACACCAGTGAACACCGACCTGCAGTGCTTCGGCCTTAATATTCAAAATGCGTTGGACTGGGGCCAAGGTGTCTTTGCATACCAGGTAATTATAATTGTATTACTCCTGTGCTCATGAGTTACGGCCTCGACGCAAATTAAGTGTATGTACAGCTCCTGGGGATTGGCGTAACTTTGCGCTGACGCGCTATTATGCACTTTGAGCTTGATTCATGCTACTCGGGCTCAACCGGAATTTAACTGGGAGGTCCTGAGGGCTCCAGCCTGTGACCCGTTTTCCGTCCGCGTGAACTACTCTCCTTTTGTGTGAAGCTGGGATGGGGTCTGGTAGTGACAGGGGTCCATATTATGTTATGGTGACGTTTGAGGGGCGCAGCATGCGCACCATTATGACTGAGGCGCCACCCTGGCAGGGGCCTCGGAAATCTGCGAGGCTGGGGCGCTTTGCCCTGAAGTGAACGAGGGAGGATGATGATGGCCTCCCGCGTACCCGCATCAATACTCAATATAACGTCCATGGCCCCCCCGGCTTTTATGGACACACCCACACTTGCGTGCGGAACTTGTAACCTTGAACTATTATAAATCCTGCACCTACCCCTGGACGGCTATGAACATGAGCTGAGCTCGTGATACGTGTTGGCAGGTTTACTGGCGGCCTTTCCTGCCATGCATAACCGCCTGCTCATGCCAGGAGTCTTAATACTGTATGTGCGGATGACCTGTTTTCCCACCTACTGATATGTCGAGGTACATGAGCTTCGAGAGGATCATTCCTCGACAGAGTCCCGGCCGATTCGTGTGAGTTTTTATCCAGCAGGAACACCTCGCTTGTGCCTGTGCCTGCAGTCCTGCAATCCCGTTGACCTGTGTAGCTAATGCCGTCCGATCCATTGGCATTGCTGGCACCGCCCCGGCCCGGCATCGCTCCTCATTTCCTTGACATTTCCAAATTTTTAAGGCCCCTACAAGCTACATGCTGCACTGGTCATGAATAACACGGATCATCGCGCTGGCGTGCACGCATTGGAGACTTCAGGTGACATTGAAATGTGTGCAATTAGTGGTACCGGAGCTATACATGTGCCTGGATGCAGCGGGAAATGATGATGTCATGGGATGGTCATTGCTGCAGATAGCATTAACCGCATGACAACCGAGCCCATTGGTATTTGCTTTGAGCAACACTTCTGATTGCCGTATCGCTCTTGATGTAGCTGGCTTTTTGTAACAAGTAATGGCTTCAAATGGTTGATCCGCCTGCATATAATCGCACCACACGATGGGTTTTCCTCGGGACAGCAGCCGATTGGACATGGGCATAGTGCCCCTGGCCCTGGCATAGTAGGCAGAAATTGGCTATAAACGTCGTCTTCCCGTTGCTCCGAATGTGTGAAGAGTGCCTCAATCGCGTGCACGGTCCACTCCCCGTCGCATCGGCTGCTGCGAACGCTTTCGTCAGCAGATGAACGGACGTGCGCATAACCTACGGGCGAGTGCCCCAGTATGCCCCTCAGCAGGCGCTGCTCGTGTGATAACGTAACATGGAAAGGATGATTGACAGCATAGCATGCTACAGTACGGCGTGGCTTATCGCGCTATGCTACCGCAAGACCCGCCGCTGCAGGACGCGAGGAGTAAAGTTGTTTGCCCCATGCTCCGGGGTTTCAATCTTTGACTTTCTTGTCCACAAATCCAAGCGATGGTGAGGGCAAGGAGAAATTCGGAGGCTTCGTTGTCACTAAAGCTGCTCTGACGTGAAGCGGGAACGCATACAGCGCCGGGCGATTTGCTAAAATTTCAGAACTGTTCGCGGGTGCGAACCATGGAGGCTTTCTCGTCAGGATTGCGCAGGTAGATTTCATGTGACGCCTGAGAACCTTGCAGGGCAAGCCGGGCGACGTTACGTCCTCTACGAAAGGGCTAACGGAGCCCATGTGCTCAGTAAGATTGCCATACGTTGCTGATTCACTACGGCGTGCAAACCATTACATTACTGAGTTATGAGGTTCGTACCTTGTACTGACGCGTCCAGACTTCACAGCGAACCGAGTTACGAGATGTACGCCATGTGCAACCAGATTCGCAATGTATGGCAGCAAATGTCGAAACCGTTTCATACGACTTAATCACCTCACAAGCTCACTTGCTTAACTCTGCATCCCGGGTAGTCGACAAGTGTAAGGTTTCCTACATGCAGACGACATCTTAATGGATCCTTAAATTCATATGAAACTAGGAATGCTGGGGACAAAACGTTTGACACAAACTCGCTGAGTGGAGCGTCCTCGTGACGCCCTTGCAATGTCTGAAGATGAAGACGGAATTCTCGGAAAGGCACGCCGGCTATTTTCATGTCTGTCGGGTTTCAGCGACGATGATGGAGGAGAGCAGCGGCTTGGGGCGCATGGCAATGGAACTTTGCCCAAGGCTCCGGGACAGCCAGCAGGACTGCCGCGACCAAATAGTTCTGCTGGAGTTCCTCAGGCTGGAGCCCAGGCATCCACCTTGCGCCACAACCCCATCGACGTTTGCCTGACCATGCCTGAGGCAGTCTCGGTTCTTCAAGGCAATCCCAGCCAGCGCACCTTTGAAGCCTTATGGTGTGGAGTTCCGGTGCACCTTCACGTTCTGACTTTTGTAAAGAGGCCTAACCCTGTTGCGCAGCTCCCTGGCCCCGCATCTCCGCATGCTACGGTCGCCGCCGCGCTGGACGCACCGCCTCCCGCCCAGGCGAACATGCTTGCACAGCCAGACATGATAGCTGTTGCAACAGAAGTTGAGGCGGCTTTGGTTCAGCTCATCGCCGAGCCCACTCCACAGGTGCGTTTATGTGAGCAGCATAACCATACCACGTAACCTGCGCGCTAACGCGTACGACGCATAACGTATCCACTCCATGCGTAGCGGTAATATGTTAGGTTTGCTTAGAAGGCGGATAACGCTGCTGAGTGTGTTAAGCTATCCTGCTTATGCACTGTAACAGTGCCGTTTACTCCAGGCGCCTCGCATTTCCGCACTGAGGTCATCGCATATCCGCGGTCCACCGGTGCAGTCCTTCTCCGCGCACTGCAGCACACCTGCTCCCGGCACTCGCTCGCTGTCAACGAAAGATCACCACACCGCAAATGCGCGGCTTGATCTTGACGGCACGAGTGTTTGTGCCCCACGAGTGTTTGAACACAGCAAACGGTACACAGCCTTTTGGCCTTCCTCAGCGGTCCGTGCGCATCGATCGTTTTGGTACTTCGCTGCTATCCAGGTCAAACCTATCATGCCAACATCACGGACTACCCGGACCCGCACGGGCCAACTGCACCTTCGTCGTGGTGATGTTCCCCCGGTCCCTTCCTAACTTGCTTTTCCCTCTCCAACCTCTCCATCACAGCACATACACACACACAGCAGACACACAGGTACACACGCACACACATATAGAAACACCTCGGAGTTTAGAGAACCAGCAGTACACTTCCCCAGGCCCTGCTCCCGGTATGTTTCTGGCCCGGGCTCCGGTATTCCCTCCACTTACCCGCCCCCCCCCCCCCGCCTCAACGGACTCCTGTCATCCTCTACCCCGTCCAGGTGCTTCCTGTGCTTGCATGTGCCAAGGTTACCTGCCGCGCTCACATCGGCAGTCCCGGGGATGAGCACGTTACGCAGCGCATTATCGCGGAGGTGCACATCGTCACCCCGCGGCTACCGGGCCTGGTGCCCCTGACGCAGTGGCTGCAAGAGCGCTGGCCGCAGTGCGAGCTCACCGCCAACGGCGAGGAGGCGGAGGGCGCGGCCGCAGCTGCGGCGCCGAATGCAGCGGGCCCAGCAGGGGCCGGCGGCGGTGCCACCATCGGAGGCGGCGGCGCGGGAGCGGCGGTGTCACCTTCGGGGGTACAGGCACAGCAGTCCAACACGCCAAACCCACAAAACCATCGGCTCTCCTCCGCAACGGCGGCAACTGGCCCAGGAGTGCAGCCTGTAGGGCCCGGGCCCGTTACTTTAGGGAGGCTGGCTGGGGGGCCTGCGGCGGCGGCAGCGGGTAATACCATCGTTTCAGCCGCCGACGGCCGGTCGCCTAAGCAGGCTAGCTCCGCTGCGGCCAGCGGCGCTTTCTCGCCGACTCGTAGTCAGGACCCGGGCCAGTCAGGGCCAGGGCCGGGGGCTCCGGTTTCTCGCCTAGGCGTCAGCCAGCCCATCGCGGAGGGTGTCGCGCCTCGTGACTATGGCCGGGCTATGAGTGGGGAGCAGCAAAGAGGACAGCAACAGCTTGCCACCACCGCGGCTGTGGCAGTAGTTGCGGCTGCTGCGCCGCGCGCGTCGGAGAGCAATACAGAGGACCAGAGCGACGGCCGGTTCGCATCCGCATGCATCCCATGTCTGGGAGGGTGCTTTGCGCCACTGGTGATGGGGGCGCCGCCACCAGCGGCGACGCCGTCGAACAGGCCAGGAGACCATCCTGGCTTGCAGGCGGAACCGGGGAGAGCGCTACCCAGGGGAACCCCTGCACCGCGCGGCGCAGCGACGGGAAGGCCAGCCACGGAGCCGGCGGCATCAGGGGCCATGGCGTCGGCAGCGCCGGCGGCGCAGACGGGCACCGGCGATGTGGGCGCTGGAACACGCCGGCTGGCCGGCCCCAACGCGACGCAGACTTTGGCCCCAGGTCGGCAGCGGCTTCCACTGCCGCCGCCGCCGCCTCAGCGACCACAGCTGCCTCTGCGTGAAGCGCTCGAGGTGCTCATTTGCTTGGCGGAGGCGCTCCGGAACCTGCACCGCCGTGGACTGACCCACGGCTCCTTGACACCGAAGACAATCCAGCTGCAGCTCGAGGAAGCCGAGGCGGCGGTAGCTGCGGCGGCTGCAGCGGCGGCCAGCACTGCAGCTGACCCCGCGGGGGTGCGGCGGTCCGAGGGCCCGCCTCCGCCTGGGAGCTGTCTGTCCACGCAGCCCTTGTCCTCCACGCAGGCACTGTTATCGTCGCCAAGTCCGCGAGGTCTCCAGCAAGCGAGCGCCATGCAGCACGCCGGTGGCCCGGGTCCGGGTGGTGGTGTCGTTCCACCCGTTGCGACATCGCTCGACTTGCCTTCGCTCATGATGGACACGGCTCCAGGTGCTCCGGGTACGACGGACTTACCAGAGAGTTGCTCGCCGCTGGTGACGATGGCAGCCGCCGACGCCACCGCCTTGGTGCCGGGCTCACGTGTGGCGGCGCCTGGGGAGGATACCGCTGGAGTGGTTGGGTGTATGTCGCCAAGCGTGTCTGTGTCCACCGCGGTAGCAGCCGCCGCCGTGGTCCAAGGCGGCCAGGCGCCATCAGAGGAACCGCCAGTCGGCGCCGCGAGTGACGGCCTGACGGCGCCGCTGCCGGTAGCAGTCGCGGCAGCAGTGGCAGCGGGACAGGAACGGCTAGCAGTACCAGGTGCAGCACCAACGGCAACCACGTCATTGCCCGCCGTTGCGGCAGTAGGCCTAACGGGCCCTAAACTCAACGACGCCGCCACTGTCGGCGGTACGAGGGCCGCCACGGGCGGCGGGGGGTTGGGCCTCAACGGCGCCGCCGCCGATAGCCCGTTCCGCCAACCCGCACCACCCACAGCGCCAGCGCCGTCGCATCTGCGGGTGAAGTCCTCACAGCCCGTCCGCCGCCGCGTGCCCGGCATCCGCGCGATGCTGCCGCTACCGGCTGTTGGTCCCGCGGTGTTGCAGCTGCAGACGTGGGGCCGCGCCCGGCCCATAAGCCTAGCTCGCGATCACATGTTGTGGTGCGCTCCGGAGCTGCTGAATGGTGGCGGGGTGGGGTGGGGTCCGCCGCTGCTGGCTCGCCGCAGCGGCAACGGCAGCGGCAGCCTGGGCCTGGGCCCGCTGGACCAGAGCCTGGGCTGCCGTGGCGGCAATCGGCTGCGTGGCGGCAACCACCACCTCCACGGCGGCAGCCGCCATTTCGGTGACGGCAGCTACGGGGGAAGCATGGGCGGCAACAGCCGGAGGTTCCGCTGCCCCGCGTCCATGATGATGGGTCAGGTGAGGATGTACCGCTGTGTGGACGATAATGTAGATGGCGGGATGGGGGGATGGAGGAATGGCGGGATGGAGGAATGGCGGGATGGGATGGGCTGATGGTCGCGTGGACGGGAGTGACGATGATTGGGTTTGGGGATGGAAACATGAGGAGCCTTGAAGGGGCCCTCGGAGCACTCAAGGTGTGGTCGAAAAGGACGGGATTGCGACGGGATCTCTAGGTCAGTGCGGTGGGGTGGAGAGAGGTGGGGAGACAAGGGGTTTGGGGTTGTGAAGCGGTGCCGCGTTGGACTGGGAATGACTCTACAGCCCAACTTTCCTTTTTGCCACTTCACACACCACTCTGTGTTGAGCCGCGCGGCAAGTGACGTGACGTGACGTGATGTCCGCGGTCCCCCCAACCACCCTCCCACCTTCCCGCTGGCTTCCCCCGCTTTGCAGGACACCGCGGGCGCGGCATCTCCTAATGCGCACGGCATCACTCCCTCCTGCGATGGTGGGTGGATGCCTGGCTAGCTGGGTGTGGCTGCTTGGGGTGCGACGACGTGTTGCGAGATTGAGTGGTTGGGACAGGGGACCGCTGACTGGCATCTGAGACCCCTGACTAGGATTGGCCCGCTGACAAGGACTGGCTCTGCGGCCTTGCTGGGCCCCCTCTTGAGGGCCCCAAGGAGGGGAGAGGAGTCAGAGGACGGTTGGGGAGGTTGGAGATGCGCGGCCCCTAGGACTCTCCGCCAATCCCATGGGGGCATGCAACGCAGTTAACGAACCATCTCCTGGCAAAATGATTCGCGCGCAGCCGTGCTCTCACTCACAGCAAGGCGCAGATGAGTCGCTTAGTTGCTCTGGGCGTTTGGGTAGCTTAGGGAGACTTAGGGTTGCGTTTTTGTGCACCTGCACCTGCACCGGAGGTTTTATTGAATGCGTCGCAATCGCGTTGCTTGCCCGTTCTCCTCTCTCTCGCCCCCCCCGACAGCTTTTCACTCGTTCGTGGTTCGTCTTTCCCCCCCTCACCCTCACCCTCACCCTCACCCGCACTGTCGCTGCGATGGCTACTACCCTAAGTCGCTACTACTGGTCGGTAGCTGCTTACAATTTCCTGATGCAGTATCCGTCTATTTGTCGTATTCGCATCACTCGTCCGTGGTTCGAATTTAGCCCTCAACCCCCTCTCCATTCCCCTCAACCCCTCTACACCCCCCTGCAGTGTACTCGTTGGGCATGTTGATGTGGTACCTGGTGTCAGGGCAGCCTCCGTTCGAGCATCTGGCCACGCAAGACGTAAGAACGTGTGGGTGTGTGAGTGGGTGTGTGTGAGTGGGTGTGTGTGAGTGAGTGTGTGTGAGTGGGTGTGTGTGAGTGGGTGGGTGGGTGTGAGTGGGTGGGTGTGGGTGTGTGTGAGTGGGGGTGG